GTGCAGTGATGTTGTGTTGCGACATTGTCATGCTGAGCTGTGATGCAATGGGTTGGTCCTGAAAGCGGAAGCTGGAGAAGAAAGATGAACTTTGCAGAATGGATGAATAAAATGAAAACTGGCTCTGTTGGGTTGGAGTGTGGGAATGAAATTGCATCCAGGGTACTTCACTGAGAATACCTGCCTGCTGCTAAAAGACAATTGAAAGCTTTGTAAAAGTCCTCTTTCCCATAGTGCAACAGGGCACCAATGTGCCTTTAAAGTTGTGTTATGTAGCCACAAACCATGTTATCCACTGGTAATGTGGACAGGGCTTTAGTTTTCTCCAATGGGTCTCGGTTGAATGAGAAAAGGGAGGGATTGGCAGAACTGGGGTTAGAGGCAGTTGCTTATGGAAAACACCTCCTAGTTAATCTGTATTGATCCTCTGTATTGTACAAGTTTCCCTGTGGCATGCCTGGCTTTCCAAGGAGGCCTAAAATTAAGGCCCTGACATTAAAGAAACCATGATATTCACAAGGATAGGCCAGTTAACTCTGGTGTCTGGCCAAATTCCAACTTGAGTAATTACATTTTATCTCGCTAAATTCCCCTCTGCTTTCCATTTTGTTCACTGCTGTGGGCTTAAAATGGCTGTCATGTTTCACCCCAGAGAGGGCTATGTTTTAGTAGCAGGTGGTGTGACTACTATATGGATATTTGGTACAGCTTGATTAATAAAGTGCTTTGGGATCCTTTTACATATGATATAAATGCAATCTCATTGTCCTTATTCCTGCTAGTGCAGGGTTCTCAAACTTTTTCATAGTATGGACCACATTTTAATAGAGAGAGGATTTTGATGAACACCTGTCCCCCCACTTATGATCTCACAGATCACCTCCCCTTGTATTTACATACAATCCTCATGGCAACTACTGCAATTGCTTACATAGAAAAGTCTTGCTAGGGAAGTATTTTGTGCATTTTTAGCTTAAATGAAATTTAGCAGATGGGATGTATGGATGAGCAAATGCTGTGTGACCAGCTGGCTATCTGAGAACCACCAGTCAGTGCTCTGTGGACTACAGTTTCTTCGTACATGTGTCTTGTCTAATCCCTTTGCTCTCTGCACTGATGATGTCTCAACACTCTTCTCTTGGAGTCTGTGCCCTATTTCTCTGTAAAGACATTTTTCTTAATGCCTAACCTGAATTTGGTTTTATGGTTCTAGCTCTAGGCTGTTGCTCTCTGCTTTACTACTTTCAGATAATTGGAGTAATTCCCTTCCTTCATCTATATTGTTCCCTTGAAGGTATTTATAGACAGAGCTCTTGTTCCTGCTGAACTTTCTTTTCTAGTCTACATGCATTTCTCTTCCCTCACCTCTCCTCATACACTTTATCCTCTGATCCTTGTATTGTTTTTAGGGAACTAATAGTTGCTGTGGAGCACTGTGTGTCTCTTGTGTTCGGTGAGAGGTTATACTCTCCAGTTCCTTGAAACTGCCCCAGAGGAGAGGCCATCTTAAGCTGTATCCACACTAAAAAACATTCTGACATGTTTAAATTGGCCATCAAGCATGGATCCCTGATGCCCTCCATATATGCTCCCTCAGCTGGAGTTGAAAACAAGGCTCAGTCAAGGTTAACAGTTGTTGCAAGACAGTGTGGTAGGTCCCTGATAGAACTACAGGTAGGCCACCCCTTCATACCACAGGTGTTGAACTCCGTTCCACCTGTGCGCACCCATGAGAAACCATTGTAACCAGGGCCGGCTCTGACTTTTTTTCCCACCCCAAGCAAAAAAAAAAAAATGTGCGGGGCAGCTGGAGCGGCGAAGCAAAAAAAACCCATGCAGGGCGGCCAGAGTGGCAAAGCAAAAAAAAAAACACGTTCAGGACGTCCGTAGCCAGGTGCAAACTTTTGGTGCCACTTACTTGGCAGCTCACAGCTGCCTCCCCCGGCCACGCTGGCTAGTGGGACTCCCTGCGCTGCAGACGTGCCCCGGGCAGCAGAGTGAGTGCCCCAGCTAGTGGGGGGGGAGGGTGAGGGAGCGAGGGGGAAAGAGAGAAGGGGGGCTGCCAGGGCTTCCTTCAGCCGGGGCACTAGCCACTCGGCCCCTCCTATTGCGCTGCCTGCCGGGAGGGCTCCACACCGCTCCCGCCTGCAGGTGAATTGAAGGTCGGTGGGGAGGGAAGGATGCGGGCTGCCAGGCTTGCTGCAGACCTGGCACCGGTGCTGGGGCAGATGGAGCGCGCAGCCCGCTTCCCTCCTCCACGCCGCTGCCCCCTACAGGGTGGCTGGAGCAACGAACCAAAAAAAAAAAAGGGCGGCCGTGCCACCCTAGGATTGGATGGAATACCGCCCCTTAGAATCTGCCGCCCCAAGCCCGAACTTGCTTGGCTGGTGCCTGGAGCTGGCCCTGATTGTCACTTTCAGCTGAGTGGAGTCAGAGAGGGAAGAGACAGGTCTGGCACCTGTTGTCGAATACAGTTGGAATTTTCAGAGGGCAGCCACACTAACAGGGGTTTAAGCCCCAGCAACTTGATTCTGATCATGGTTAGTATCAATTAATGCCAGTTGCTATCTTGCAATGTAAAGCATTATTAAAAAATGACTTGTTTGGAGATTGTTTTTTGTTTTCAAGAACTGTTGATTTTTTTAATTTTTGGTGGCATTTGTAATTTAAATAATTATCTAGATCAGGGGCGGGCAAACTTTTTGGCCTGAGGGCTGCATCAGATTTTGGAAATTGTATGGAGGGCCAGTTAGGGGAGGAGGGCATGGCCCACTCCCCCCTCATCTGCCCCCTGACGGCCCACCCCCAGGACTCCTGTCCCATCCAACCCCCCTGCTCCCTGTCCCCTGACCCTCCCCAGAACCCTGCCCCGACTGCCCCCCGTGCCTCATCCAACCATCCCCCTCCTTCCTGACTGCTCCCCCAGACTCCTGCCCCCATTCAACCCCCGTTCTCCGCCCTCTGACCACCCCGATCTCTATCCACACCCCAGCCCCCTGACCACCATCCCCAAACTCCTCTGCCCTCTATCTAACCCCCCTGCTCCTAGCCCCCTTACCGCGCTGCCTGGAGCACTGGTGGCTGGTGGCGCTACAGCCACGCACCTCGCAGCACAGAGCACCGGGTCAGGCCGGGCTCTGCAGCGGCGCTCCCCCAGGAGCTCAGAGCCCCGCCACCCAGAGCATTGTGACGGCGGTGGAGCGAGCTGAGGCTGTGGGGGAGGGGGAACAGGAGGGGAGGGCCTGGGGGCTAGCCTCCTGGGCCAGGAGCTCAGGGGCTGGGCAGGAGGGTCCCACAGGCCGTAGTTTGCCCACCTCTGATCTAGATTGTTATTCTTTTTATGTACTGAAAACAGTCTTTGATAGACACAATTTGTAACATTTTTGATTTAAAATGTTTAAAAAAACCAAAAGGGGTCCATTTTGAACCACGCGAAGTGGAAACACCCTCAAAATTACAATAATTGTCATGATTTCTTGTTAGTGTGACCAGCTCTGATGCTAGTATACCTCAGAGTTACTCCTGATTTACATCTAGTGTGAGAGCAGAATTGGCCCTGTGTGCCAAATTCAGCTCTAGTAAAAATGGAATTATATCAGGGATGATTTTAGCCCAGTTTGCTTATAGTCAATGTTGATTGGACAAAAACCATTAAAAGTGTGTTTAAATACGACTAGCTGGGGATCTTGACTAAAAAGGTCTTTTAAATGGTGTTTACAATGTAGTTGTTCCTGGTCTTCAAAAGCCAGGCAAAACTGTGTTTAAACTAGGGTGACCAGACTCCCGATAAAATCGGGACTGTCCCAGTATCGAGCAGTTTGTCCCGCATCCCGACCGAAGTACGGTCGGCACGCCATTTGTCCCAATATTTTGTTTCGGGCTTGGGTTTTTTTTTTCTTTTTGCTTAGGCTTTGCTTAGGAAAATACGGGACCGCCGCAGGGGGAGCGCCTTTTCCATTGTTACACTCACCCGTCCGGGTCTTCGGCGGCACTTCGGCGGAGGGTCCTTCAGTCGCTGACGATCTTCGGCGGCATTTCGGCGGAGGGTACTTCTTTCTTTGGCGGCAAGGCTTATTACCCGCTGCCGAAATGCCGCCGAAGACCGTCAGCGACTGAAGGACCCTCTGCCGAAGTGCCGCCAAAGACCCAGACGGGTGAGAGTAACAATTGAAAAGGCGCTCCCCCTGCGGCGGTCCCGATGTTTTCCAGTTATCATCTGGTCACCCTAGTTTAAACCGGCTTACCCTGAACTGTATTAAAATAGCTCAGCAGATGTGTATTTCTGTGGCAGTTTGGGTGGGGCCTCAGAGTAGGAAGCAATGCAGTTTGTAAAATAGCCTGGGCCCAAGCCTCTCCTGAGAGTACATTTGTCATCTTTGTAAAACTGTCAGATTATGAGTGGGTGACAGTTACACAGAGATGACAATGACTCCTCACGTGAGGGCAGTGAAGAGGTTAAAATTTAGCAGATGGGATAGAAGGATGAGGAAATGCTATGTGACCAGCTGGCTATCTGAGAACCACCAGAGAACTCTCCTTTCCCCTGACCATATCCTGTGTGGAGGATGTGTCGTAATGTTTCTGCTGCTCTGGGTCTCCATTTCCCATTCTCCAAGCAGTTCTGGAATGTCCTCCTGCTAGCTCAGCCTATTGTTACCTCAGCCCTCTTCACCTGGCCTGCCAAGGCTTTCTGCTCCTTACATTCCTTTAGTTTCTTTTTCTCATAACCTTTCCTGCCCCCCTCCCCTTCTCTTCTTTTAAAATATATTCTGAAGTCTCTAGACAAGCGTTGTATCCACCAAGCAAAGTATTAACAACTTCAACAGAACTTTATTTACAGTGGAAATCTCTTTTCCAAGCTGTAGCTGCACACTCTGTAACTCTCCCCAGCCTCCTCCACTCCTCCCCCCTCCTTCCTGTTTCCTGTCCTTTCAGACTCCCAGCAGCCAGTGCTCCCAGTTCTAATAATCACATCCAGCATCTAAACACAACAACTAGGGTGACCAGATGTCCTGATTTTATAGGACAGTCCCGATTTTGGGGTCTTTTTCTCATATAGGCTCCTATTACCCCCCACCGCCTGTCCTGATTTTTCGCACTTGTTGTCTGGTCACCCTACAACAAGCCATAAGTATAAAAGTGAAACTAAAACAAGGAATTGGAACTGCCAGTGTAGGCTTGTTTGATTTGTTCTGTGTTTTAATAGCAGCTTTGCTTTGTACCGATTTGTCTGAAGGAGCGGTGACTAGGATCTGCTATCTCGGTTGCAGTTGGATGATCTCTGGACGCAAGGAAGAGAAAATCGACAGTAAGTGGGTCTGTCTCACTGAGGCTGTTGTGTTTTTTTAAGACGCTTTTGCTATGCTGGGATCAGAACTGGCTGGCTCTAGAGCTGTATCTAACCCCTTCATTCGTGAGCTAAATTGTATAAGAGATTCCATCTTGCTGCCAGCTATAGTGTGGGAGAGGAGCGTGATGGGGCAGCAGGCAAAAAGGCGGGAGCTGGGTAGAAGGCTGAAGCAGGAAATGTGTATGGGGATGTAATACATGAGCCATAGTGACCTGTCTTGCAGCCCTGAGTCCTTCTCAAGACTGGGTTAGTCTGATGTGATTAGGGACCCTCTAGACTGGTGCCCATTGCTGGAAGATTGTATTCCAACAATGCTCTTTGGGGAGCGAGAGTCATTTCTCATGCGTCTGTCTTCTCTGACTCACCACATTCTCTCCCCTCTCTC